GTAGGGATGAGCACGACACTGCAGGTGAGCATGAAGGATGGACAAGCTTCGGGGATTTTGGATTGGGAACACAACAAAACACTAACACTCAGGGATTTGGAAATAGTCAGACGCCTACTAATATCGATGATTCGTTTTTAGATCGAATCAATGAATTGTTAAACGAATTCAATCAATGGCACCAGCGTGACCAAGAAGAACAATAACGTCGTCTATCATTTTATTTTTAGATCATATATTACTACTTTTATGCTTTATTGTAGTCCATGTATGTTGATATATTTATTCCATGATAATTCTATGTTTATCCTTTTGTGTGATGTAAATTAAATGTTGAATGACGGTTCATGCAGGGAAAGAACATATCAATATTCGCATATTCATTCAAAAACACGAAAATTCATAATGGAGTACCTTCATTTTTTATTGAATTCCTAAAAAACAATATTTATAATGAATTTTAATAATTTTTTCGAATTTTTTTTAAGCTTTATTCTGACCGATTCACCCAATTCTTGATCCGGATCGTCGATTCGCTGATCCGGATCGGTTTTTTGGGTGCCCGATCTGGGTCACCGATCCGTTTTTTAAACCATTGGATCCAACCATACCCAGGACCTGACAGGTAGATTCGGGACCCATGGGTCTGGGTATGGATCCAAATTTTGGACTTGAATTTTTTTTTTTGTAATTTAGTAGAGAACACAGCCCCCTAGCCGTTTTTTAAGTAGATTAAGAGTTAGCTTTACGAAGGTGTTAGCTAGATAGTGGTAGTGGTGGGAATGAAAACCACAATGTGATGATGCAATCACTACGACCCCAACCCCTTTCCCATGAGTGATCTATGTTGCCGCATTTCAAATAGCCTTGTTGAAATAAGCCCAAAAGGATGTGGCTAGAAGTAGTTTGAAAAGATATTGAGATTTATGACCTCACTAAAGATATGATTTTTAATAGAGCAGAATTAAAAACCAAGATTCATGTAGCCTATCTCAATTAATTAAAAAGAAGCTAAAATGATGATGATGATGATAACTACTATTTCAAATAACTCCATTGTTAAATAAATGTCTTTCTTAATCATTCTCTAGAATTTTTGGAAAAAAAAACAATGAAAAACCATCAAGGCGAGGGGATTTGTCACCAGCAAGGCTAAACACAGCACAGCTTCTTAGATCTCATCCTCATCACGGAGCGTTCTAAGTGCATAGCTACACTGAACATCGAACGGTCGATGGATTGCATGGACTTTTTCCAGCCGAGAAAGCACGTTTGCAAGTGCACTATACCTCTCCATATCTAAGTGATCAACTTCTTCCACACCTGAAAGTTGCGACCCAGCCAAATTTCTTTCATTTAAAACAAATGGAACATTCTCCTCCACTCTCTATTGTTGAGGTGCCTAATTTAGGGGCTGCTTGTTTCCAAGTGGGAAAAAAAAGGAAAAAAAGAGAAGGAACTAATCAAACTATATCATTCAATAGCCAAGTTTTCATCCAACCAAAACCTGGGTGTTGAAAAGACCAACTCCCAGCATGTTTCTAAAGGTACTTGGGGCATTTGAGAGACCAAATAGCATCATCAACCGTTCATACATACCATCGTAAACCCCAAAATGAGCCTATTTTTGGATTTGGAAATTGGGGTTTTGATGAAACCAGGGTTTCAAATTGTTTTAATCTTTCATGTGCACACATTAATCTCAGTGGCATGCTTGATCCTATTCAAAGATGTTCACTATCTATGTCCGATGTACTTGCATTTGGAATGGTTTGGGTGAATCCCACGGGAATAAGTATTATGCAGCCTGAGATACCTGCATATGAAGTCCCTGTAGAGATCAAAATTAGATTACCTCTGTATGTTTGACTTTACCAGCCATGGCATCATATATAATCTTATCAGGATGATACTGGGGATAATGAAAATCACCCATATTGTCTTGTCTTTCACAATCCCATCCAAATTTTTGAATAACATTCAACATTATGTATGTTCAGGCCTACCCTCTTAATGTGTAAATGATTCCTACCACATCATTGATTCGTGTGCCTGCATGTGTGTAGAGGTATGGGAAAAATAATTTCTTAGTTACATAAAATACAGATGTAATATTTGTATGCAGGAGTTATATGACAACTTAAACAACCCATGGAACGGTAGTGTACACAAGTATGGAGTCACTGAATGGCCCATAATTTCAAACTCAAACCCAATATTATATATCATGCCCGGTTTCCCTGTGTACGAGCCCAATTTACAGTTGCCCTCGCCAAAGCATCCATTGGATCCACACACTTCTTCAGTAGAGGATCATCCTTGGGCAGTAGTCCAAGCATGTCATCAGAAGCTAGCACAACAGTGTTCACTGCCCTTACCAAAAGAACTCGAAATGCTATTCTCAGGAGGTTCCTTCCTCCCTCGATGTCTTTCCTGCGAAGAGCTTCCATGGCTGGGAACATGGTATGCTCCATTGTTGCCTTATCAGGCAACACCACTTCAAAGCCCTGCAAATTACCAAGCCCAATTTAACCACAACTGACACATGATGGTGTTCTTGTGTGTGTTTTTTTTTGTGTGTGTGTGTCTGCGTGTGTGTGTGTGTGTGTGTGAGAGAGAGAGAGAGAGAGAGAGAGGAGAAGAGGGGTGGGGGTGGGGGTGGGGGTGTAGGTTGGGGGCGCCTGGGCTTGTACGTACAAATAATATTAAACCTAAGTTTGTCATGTTAAAATTCCTTTTTGTGGAGGCATATGAGTGATGATGGACATCATCACCAAGAAATGGATATGCATTAGAATGATAATATTAAAATTTTAAAATGCAGCACCTAATAATCCACAACGATGTACACAACCCAGTGTTATTGTAGAGAGTGGAAAATCAATGAGGACCATTTTATTCAGGGCCCCCACTATTCCCTTGACTAACTTTTCCTATTCCCTCTGAGAAAACATTTATGAATGAAATATTAGAGAAGGCCCATTTAAAAACCACTGTGGAGCCCTTAATGCATGTTTTTGGGGGTGGGGATGATGGCAAAGACGGTGGGTTGGACAAATGGCACCCTTTATTTCATTTTTTCATGGGTAAGTGAAGGACATTACAATCCAAAAGAGCGGAAGAGGCACCAAAGATTAACTTACAGACTACTCTAGAAAAGAGATCATTCATAACACGACTTGGGAAATTCCAGGTCTTGTGTATGGGCGTAAACATACATCAAAACAATCCTAATAAACTGAATCCTTGTTACAAAGAGATGGAAATACCCTAACGACGACTAGGACATGAGCCATAGGCATAGATAGATATGGATACTTATTGAGCGGTTATCCTCAGGTTCTAAACAAGAGAAGGCTTCGGCATCAGGAACCTAAACTGATCCCCAGATGACCATGAAACATCCGCCACAGCTCTTGTTTAGTCCCATAGATGATATTCTAGCTGAATAGAGTTGAAGGACTTCAATAGCAGGCCCTGTACTCAGCCAGTACCAGCCTTGTGCCCCTGATTCAAATCACTTAACAACTGGAATAACAAATCACTTATCAATGGTCCTATGTTCTCAATTTTTAGAAAGCCCAAGGAGGAATGCTAAAGGTAACTTGAAACATTAACAAAGTGATTGAGCCAATGTTCTGATTCTACTGAAAAACCAGTAATTAAGACATTGATTTGTAAGATCCAGTGAAATAGACAAAAACTATCAACATTATTAACAATTGTACCGGTAATACTCACTATGTTCAATACTGCCAAATTGAGGCTAAGACGGGTAATGGTGCCCTTCTTTCCCTCTCCACATTGAAGGGAATGTTAGTAGAGGATAGGCACTTTCCTGGTCTCTCGTGACAAGAACTAATTGGTAACCAATTGATTGGAATGACAAGATCCTCCCACCTTTTGTTTATGTTTCCATTCGAGAAAACAAGTAAGGACTGGCTCACTGAGATGAGGATACTCATTTTAATCATTGGTAGATTAGAACTTGATATATGTTCAGGAAGGATATGCAAAAGTCAATCTTTTACTTATCCAAAAAGAATCTTATCAATGACTCATAAACAGTGTTGCAAGATCCTCATGAACATGAAGAAGCCTCTATAGAAAAGTAACTCCTATGGAGAGGATATCATGAATGAGCGAAATACAAGAGATTGCTTCCATTAGCTTAAGCTCGAAATGTTTTGCTTTGATTGAATCATTATACTTCTCTAGGATCAAAGGGACAGCAAGTCAACGAGAGATACTTAAGACCGATCACAACATTCTGGAATGCATGGCGAAAGTAAAGTTTATTTTTCGAACGCCCACAACATGGGATGAACTCAAGCCAGAAAATTTCCTGAAACCCTCATCCTTTGGGGTGTCTTCAAGTATCAGACTTAACACCCTTGGTTTGATCAAGAAAAAATTTCCAGCCAGAAAAACATGTGAGATCCACTTATAAGTCCTTTATTTTTCTTTTATCAGTACTCATGAGAAGTCCTGTCAATCAATGGAGAAGTGGAGAGCAAGGTCATGAATGTCAATGGGAGATCTAAACTCTAATAAAAATAAAGAAAAGAAAAGTGAAGAACTTCCAGAAAACAGGAGACTACTAGTCCATAGTAGTAAATAAGCATTTACATCCACTAGCAAGGGAGGAGGGCGGGAGGGATAGAGAGAGAGTCAAGCCACAAGAAAGAGAGAACAAGAGTTAAAAATTCAAATACAAAAGACTTTATTGTAACATCATGAGTGAAAAAAGCTAGTTTTGATTTATAAGTTCTAATTTCCTCTAAACGTTGGTATCTTACATGCAATGTTCAAAGAGTCAGCCGCCCGGCTGCCCAGGTGGATTTTTTCAAAAAATGACTAGGCATGGGTATGGCGGACAATATTAGGCAGAATCCTCTAGGCGCCCAAGGCGGTGTAAAAGGCGGGCGCCTAGGCACCGCTTTGAAAATGTGATAATTAATTTGTAATTATTAATTTGTAATTATTAATTTATTGATAGTTATTGATTATTAATTTACTGAAAATGTTTTTTTGCGTGTGACGGTAATTATTAATTTATTGGTAAATTACTTGAGTAAATTAAAAAAATAGCATTAATCCGTAATTATTAATTTATCAAATTCTTTTGCACGTAACAGTAACTATTAATTTATTGGTAAAACCAAAAAATAGTATTAATTTATAATTATTCGTTTATCGAAAATGCTTTTTGCATGTGTTGGAACTTATTAATTTATTGATAAACCAAAGTATAACATTACTCGTAATTATTAATTATTAAAAATACTTTTTGCATGTAACAGTAATTATTAATTTATTGATAAACCAAAAGACATTATTAATTTTTAATTATTAATTTCTCGAAAATACTTTTTAGATGTAACAAAAATTATTAATTTATTGGTAAATTAAAAGTTAATATTAATTTGTAATTATTAATTTAGCGAAAATACCTTTTGCATGCAACAATAACTATGAATTTATTAGTAATCCAAAAGATAGTATTAATTCGTAATTATTAATTTCTCAAAATTTTTTTTTGCAAGTGACAGTAATTATTAATTAATTGGTAAACCAAAATATAGTATTAATTCGTAATTCTTAATTTATCGAAAATATTTTTTGCATGTAACAGTAATTATTAATTTATGGGTGCGGTTTGTATAGAGCCTAGGCTCTAAACAATCAAATTAGAGCCTACCTTCAAATAGTATTGAGAAATGTGGTTTCAACACTAGAAATCTTTGTGATAGCTTTAAAATATATTTTCATATTTATTTATAAAATTTAAAACTTAAAAAATAGTGTAGATCAACAGATCTATGAAAACTTGAAAATCTTGAAAATTGATGGTCCAAAAATACGTTTCAAAATACACTATTTCTAAAATTTGAAATCCATTTTTTTCTCATGTTCATGCATCTTGATTTATGCTCCCACATGCTTGACTTGAAATCCCATTTATTACCTATTGTATGCCAACTAGGTCACCATGGCATTCGTTTGTGATTTATATCAGTTCCTTTTTTTATTTTTCTTGAGATATTTGAGTATCAATTGTGTTAAGAGCCTTATATGTATTAGCTTCCCTAAAACTAGATTGAATTGAGGCATGTTCAAGGGCATCGATATGGTATCATTGATGTGTGACTAAGTCTCATGGCAGTAAGCCAGACAATTTGAGCTTTATTTTCGCTTCTCATGCTTAATAGACCGCTATGCACACATTTGGTTACGTACATGTATTTTGGATATTGACCTTGGGTTGTATTTTGGCATATGCGATTGTATATGTCATTTCATGTCCTATGTATGTTGAACTTTTCATGTAAGCGATGCAATTCATGTTTTAGTCAATCTCCAAGTGAGTTTTTAAGAGTGGAACGTGTGTAGGACAAATTGTGAGGTATGAAGTGTTGTTTTCAATTGTATCTTAAGGTGCATTTGTATTCACTAAGAGGTCTATGTGGCTGTAATTTTGTGACTAAGGCATTGTATTTGGGTTGAGTCATTGAAATGGCAAAAGAAGAGTGTCCTTGAGTGCTAGCCGCTATACACTAACAAGATTAAAAGCCACAATTTGCAATGATTAAGGGAAGTCAGTCAATGATTCATCAAAGTTCTAACAATTTGTCCCTAAGTATTTGCCACAGCAAACTCATAAAAATATAGACTAACATGGGCTACCCAAGTGCTAGCCACTGCATTACTCATGGTTACATGAAAATCTAAGAAAATTGACAAAGATATTTAGCATTTGGAATTTTATTATGGCAGAAAATACTATAAGCAGAAAGAACAGCAAAAATCATGACATAATAATAGTGACTTAGTTTCATGGTCTTATATTCAAATAGGTCCAAAATACTTACCCAAAAAACATAGGTCCAAAATGAAAATCAACAATGTTAAGCTAATAAAAATTAGCATCAAATTTTGTTGTGACATCTTTCATGTACATTCATTGATCATCATCATCATCATCATCATCAGAGCCTTATCCCATCTATTTGAGGTTAGCTACATGAATCTTGTTACGTTTAGGATTCATTGAAACTTATGGTAAAGTTTTACAGTGGCTGCCCACCTAACACAACCCTCCTCCTTTACCCGGGCATGGGACCGGCATGACAAGCAAACGCCCGGCCAAGGCGGAGTCTTTTATATACATTCATTATAAAAAAAAAAAGTAAGAATGCACAATTTATTGAAGCTACAAGTATGAAAAGAAGTTAGCACCCAAGATATATACTGGGAATACAACTTTAAGAATTCACAGTTTTTCAGGCATTAAGAAACTACAACCAGGAAGCTGAAAGCATAGTTATGAAGACAGATTTGTGTCAGCATAGTTATGAAGACAGATTTGTGTCTGAAACAGATGCATGTGTTTAAAACAACATCCCTAACATTGCCCTTTCAATCATTCACGTCCCTATCTCATTTAGGAAGAGGGGGGTGGGGATAATTTAAATGACATTAACTACTCATCTTAGTAACATCAAAG